TCGATGAGACTGTGGAGAAGCTATCCTCGCAATCCATCCAGGCAATTTTTAAAGGTTTCCTTCTAAATCAATCAGAGCTGGATTATCCCAGGCATTGGCAATCACGGGGGACCTCGCTGTTCCAGGGCTATGATGGATCGATTCTTCTTGACTCAACTCCCACTGATGGAACTAAAGTGGAAAAATTGTCACTTCATGTCTGCCAGGAGCTTTGAGATGATCAAGGAAGCAAAGCAGAGGTTGGAAGCAGCTTTTCCTTTTCACTTTTTCTGCTTCTTTCATGTTTATGGTAGCCAACTTATGTGAAATTACAGCTCTTGGAATTTTACGAACAGCATGTGAAGAATGTCCAGGAAATAAGAAACTATAAGGTGTAGTATGACATTTTTCTTTTTGTAATACATAGCTAGATAGTTACATTATTCTGCCTGTTGTAGCCTCTGTGGCTTTTCTTGACTTTCAAACAATGAAATCCATGACATCCCCTTCACCTGAACTGATCTCACCACTTCGCACTGCAACAATTACACACCTTCTCCAGGTTTTTAATTTGAATTCTGGTTTAGTTTGCATCGGAGCCTTGCATAAATAATAAGAGATTAACTAAGCGACAATGCTTTAGGCCAAATAGTTAGTTATTTCTAGGTCAAGAAAGAGAAAAAAAATGGAGAGAGGATTAGAAGGTATGTTTTCTGGTAGATATAAAAATTACAAAGAGCAAACACACTACCACAGAAACCGAAAATCAACAAAACAAAAGGAAGAGAAGGAAGGCTAGAGAAAGGCTTGAAGTTCTAATGAAAGAAACAGGTATTGCATACAAACCCTAGGACGTAGGTAGCTGACCACACAAATAAAGAAGAAAACTAGCAGTATTAATATAGATTTCTAAAAAGATACACTAACAACAACCATCACATGTGAAGAAAAATTACACCATAATGAAGATAATCAGGCATCAGAAGGAGTGATTAGAAATGCAATTCATTCCCAGAAAACACCTATACAGGAGACATGTGAAATGGAAATTGAGACTACTCAACAAGAAGGTGACAAAATATAGCTTCTGAGATTTTAAGAAAAAAAAAGACAAATATTACCAAAAATATGAATATCATAAAGTTCAAATTTTAAAAGATAAGCTTATATGCAGAGACTCTCAAAATCCTCTATTGATTTACCTCTGTTGCTACAGTAAACCATGAGCACCATTCCAGTCAGATTGCTACAACAGGTAGCTTTTGATGCATACTTAGACAAAAGAAAGTAATTTTACATTGCAGATGATATTGCTAAGGGACTTGTGTCTAGCATCATTCAAAGTAAGCAAAATTAAAGTGACAGAAACATAAATATTGGATATTTCTTTCAGAGGATAAAGAGAATGAAATTGAAAATGAAGATGACAAAGAAACCTCTGATGAATCAGGTATGTAAAAGTAATTAAGTATTTTTCAAAATAGTTGACCACGTCTTTACTCTGCAGATACAGACTCAGTTTCTAACAAAACAATGATAAATTTATCACAAGAGAAATTGAGACACATGGGGATTGATAAAGCAATTGAAATTCGTAATATTGATGAGAGTGCAAGTATGTTACTATTTGCGGGGTATACACTGAACAGTTATGGACTACGCATGAATACTGGACGAGTGGCAGGAAACCGACTACGTGTTGACATGACAGATTTTACTGGCACTGAAACTATTACAGTATGGATGTACTCTGATGTTGCAGAGAAAATATCTCAGCAGTTTGCAAGAGGAAAATGGATTAAATTGTTTGGATTTGAGGTAGTACCAATTGTACCCAAGTATGACAGAGGCACATGGAGATATTCCTTGAAAATCACAACTTCAACCATTATAGAAGAGTTTAACCACGAACCTCCACAGCTAAATCTTTTGGTACCAACAATGAGCATTGCTGAATTTAGCAAGTTACACAAGGGTCGTGAGTCAGTTGGCTCAGTCGAAGCTGTGATGATCAAAGCCACACAATTATTACATAATAGTGCTGAAATCATAATTGCCGACAATGCAGATGCGGAAGGCTCACTGTCTGTAAGTAAAACAGACATGAAACTAGAAAAAAAAAAAAAAATTTAAAACTGTGTGCATGTGAATGGCAGGTCAAATTTTTTGAAAGCAGCATGGATATTTTCAGGGAGATGTTGACAGAATTTCTGACTGGCATTGCACCAAATAGATGCTTCATCAATTTACATATTCAAGTGAGCAAATGTTTCTGGGATGACAATAGTCACACAAGTGGCAAGCAATTCTAAAAATAAATATCTATCAGCGTTATATCGAGCAATTGGCACTAGCTGTACTGGGGTAAATACACACAAAAATAACACAAAGCACTTCTTAATTGTTTTTAAACTTAATTTATAGGTGCCTGGATGGTTCGAAATCGATAAGCTACGACCCGTGTTAATCCACACTGTCTGTAGTTCATGTAGCACGAGTGTTACACGGCGAATTGATAAAGACACGGCTGCATGTTCTTCTTGCAATTATGTTGG